AAAGATGGCCTAACCCTAACCTCACACTCAGTCTCCCCCACTAAGTCCTTTCAGTTCCTTCTCCTCCCTCACCACATCCACCCAACCCAATCCAGCCTTTACAGTGTCGAGGTTTTTTCCTCTGTGGTTATCATTTACCTCCTAAAACTAGCTCCCATCCAAATAATCAACCAATAAATCTTCGGTGCCCACTTTATGTGCAAGGTGCCGTGGCAGATGCTGAAGGATGGAGGTGGTACTAAAACATCCAAAATATGGTTCAAGCCCTTAAAACACCTGCAGTCCTGTTCTGGACTCAAAAGGTAAAGCCACGAAGGCACAAAAGTAGAAGCCATGGGCACAAACGGACATTGACATTGACAAGAAAGCTTCAAGCAACCTGGACCAGGAAGAGCTCAGACCCTGTGGCCTGGCACAATCACCCACCCCCAGGCGGTGACCTTGAGCCAGGATTTAAAGGCTGGATGAATGTAGAAAAGGGGCGAGGAGAGCAAACCAAGTCAACCAGCACTTCTCAAAGACAGGCTGAAACACACAGGCTACAATCCACAGACAAACGCAGGGTTATTTCAGTGAGTAGGTCAGGCAGAAGGCACGGGCCAGGGTGGGAACATGGGTCGGCTGTGGCAGGCCCTGTCTGTCGGCCTCCAAGCTTGACCACAGTTTCTTAGGAAAGAGAAAACCCCTGGAAGGTCTTGGGCCCTTCAGAAGTGGTGCTTTCCAGTCAGAGAGCTGGAGCCACCAAAGCGGGGGTGAGAGACCAGAGGCAGGGCCCTGGGTTAAAGGGCAGTGCAGCCACAGTCAGGGGTCAGCAGGGGGGCCTAAAGGAAAGAACAGAGCGCAGATGCAAGAGAGGGCCTGGAGGGGAGAAAACCAACTCATCTCTGAGTGCTTTTTCCTCCATACCAACTTATCCACTTTCCCTTTAAAGTGTCCTTTTCAACCTGTATTAAGAAAAATAAAACAATAACAACAACTTGTAACTATTTTTCAAAAGGCAGGCACCTAGCGTGTTAGCAGAAAAGCCAGCTCTGAGGAACTGCGGGTCACTTCTGGCCCCGGTTGCCCAGGGGAACCCTCTCAGGTCACCCAAGAAAACTTATTTCGAGAGTGAGAGAGCACTGGAGATGGTTGGGCTGTGTCCCTCCTGCTTGAACTTCATCAGAGGAAAGGTCTAAGGAATCTGAGCCACCATGAAAACACCAGCTGCCACTTGGTACTCAAGGAGTTGGACCCAAGTGGCCCAGGGCCCAGCTCTCTCGAGCCCTCCATGAATTCCTGATGAATAAAGAGCACCCAGGTCAAGGGTTCATTCTCCTCCTTCAGCAGCAAGGGACGGAGACAGACTGCAGAGGGGACACACGAATCCAGGTCCCATCTCCCAGGCACTCTCCTCCCGCCGCCTCCCTCCCACCGCAGCAGGGGACCCCAGCAGGCCGACAGCATAACGGTGGCACACACATTACCCACAACAAGCACATCAGTGAAGGACGGGCACTGGGGGTGGGGTGGAGAGGGAGAGGGTCCTCTCCAGTTGGGACTTTTCCCCGCCCTCTTCCCCCAGGCCACATGTCACTACAGATTACACTCTGCAGCCAGAAGATAACTTCTATCTAGTTGCAGCTGGAATTCCTGGCTTGCCCAAGAAAGCTCTCCACCCAGCCCTCCTGCACCTCCTCCAGTCTTCCCACCCCACAGCCCCAGACCCAACCAGTCCCAAGTGCCGGGTACCCCTACGCCCCCAGGAAAGCGCTTATGTGGCAGAAGAGTACATGGGGAAAGAAGCCAGACTTCCAGCTCATCTTCTGAAGCAAACTCTTGGCTTTCCAGAAATCTCTACCCCAACTCTAACCAAATGGCGAGCGAGTTTTCCTCTTTGCTCTGCCTTGTTGCCTGGTGTAGGCAGTAGAGGGCAGTGGGCCATGGTCCAGGCCACAAGCCCATCAGAGATGCAAAGTGTCCGGCCCCCACCCCAGATCTACTGAATCAGAGACTCAGAGCAGCGGCAGTGGCAGCAGAGGAGGGGATGCCTAGAAACCTGTGTCTTAACAGGCCCTCCATGTGGCTCTGATTGAGACATGCTGGTGTAACAGCTAAGAACCTCAATTCTGGAACCAGACTGTCCAAGTTCAATTCCCAGCCCACCCCACCCTCTAGCTGGCAAGCTATGGAGGGGGAAGTAGCCACACCTATCTCCTAGGGTTGCTGTACAGACTGCCTGAGTCCCTGCATGTCTGTGGCACTTAGAAACTACCATTTAGAATTTTGTTCTTCCTGTTTGGGGCTTCAGCAGGGGGAATGTGGCCATATCATATTTATTTCTGAAATGACTTGTAGAGCCCGACGTGGAGGGAATCAGGCTACCCTGCACTCCCTCTTTTGAGTCCTATTTACTGGTCTATGGTATGTACCTGTACAGAACAATAAGGCCCATCCCCAAAGCATCTAGTTCCTCCAGAAATGAGCCATGGGCTTTTGCTTCATTCTGTGTGTTTTTTTGACACTCATGAGAAGAGCTCTCACTTGCCCCCCAAAAAGTGACATCTGCAGCCAGGCCGCACCCACAGCCGAGCACACTGTCTGCCAGGGGTCAGTGGGATTGCAGCTTCCCACCACCGATGCAAGTTCAAGGCATCCCCTGGATACCTGTTGAATGGCATCGAGAAGACCAAAAGGTCCTTTCAGAGGGTGCTTGGAAATCTGACCCCATTCCACCTGGAAGGACTCAGAAGGGATCGTTGGAAGGCAGGAAGGTGGCATCCTTCTCCCTGCCTGCCACCCAGCTAGTCTCCTGCTCCAACTGCAGGGAAGACAGGAGTTGAGTCAGGTCTTACTAATGCAGAATCTTTTTGTCATCCAAATTTACACTCCTTATAATTAGGAGGAAACAGTAGATAGAGGTTGTCAAGAATGTAGGCTCTCAGGTCAACCAGATATGAGGGTCTGACTCCAGGCTCTACCACTAACTGGCAGTAGGACACCAGGCAACTTAGTTAAGCTCTCATCTCTGATATGGAGACGGAATGAAACTCCAGGGACTGATGTGGATGTTCAGTGAGATAATGCACTCGTAACATCTTTGCGCTGGGTACAGCACACAGCAAGCATTCCACCAATTATTACCACTCTCTAAGATTATCTGCAGCTCTGGAACTACCATAACTCATGAGAAGGTGAGTTAGAAGCTCAGGAAGGGAGGTGATAGCTTTGGATCTGTCTTGAATACCAGCTGTATGGACCCTGGAGAGCTGCCAGTACTCCAGAAGGTAATACTCTGACCTTGGGGGAAGCAAATATCCAGTGACCCATCAGCCCCTGGACCAGCTGTGACCAGGGCATATTAAAAAACCCCCTCGTCTCCTGGAGCACTGAAGGGGCATCTGAGATGGGACAGATGCTGACAACTACCGTTCACTGGATGGCACACCTCTCTGCTACACTCTAAAAACCTGCTTCCCCAACCCACTGCGAACTTTTTAACAATCACCCTCAGGCAGCTCTTAGGGAGAAATCGAGTGTTTTTAACAGCAGCCTCATCAAGGCTGCGGCGGGAAGGGAGGAGTCCTCATTACTAGCTGTGCAGCCCGCCTCTTAGAGATACGACATTCATCCAACCTACTACCGAAGCGCGTTAGCTCCAGAACTGAGGCCTCGACTTGTGCAGACATTTAAGTCAGCCACTGTCCACCCCTACTTCCGGGGGACCCCACCAAACGCTAAGCTCTAGGAGCTATTTCTTCCCTTAAGTCGCCTGCGTCTTTGGCCGTGCGTCTAGTTTCTGCACATGGCCGGAGTCGCCAGATAATGACTCCTGCACGCGGGGACCGGGAGCCAGCAAACTTAACAGCTGGAGCACAGAAAAGAAACAGGTAATTCTTTCCAGCAGCCCTGGCCTCCTGGCTGAGACTGAGCAGGGAGAGTAAAAGGGAGCGCGCGGGAGCCAGGGGGTGCCTGCCTCCCACACCGCGCGCAGGGCCCCGGGTGACCCCGGTCCCCTGGCCATCCCTGCCGAGTCCCGTGGGCACCTGCGTGCGTCCTTACCATTTAGTTGCCGGTAGACAATGTCCTCGAGCAGTGAAAGGCGCTTCAGGACTGCATCCTGGATGGGGCTGGCGCTGTGCGCGCTTAGGTTGGCCGCCTCCGCGCGCGGCCGAATCTCGTGGAAGGCG